TTTAGGGAAAGTTGTAGTCTATAGTCTCAAACCTTCTGGAAGGCCAAAAGATTTTATTGAGGCAGGTTGAAGGCAGCCACCTCATTAACATTAGCATAGGAAAGAGATAGAGGCTGATCAAAGGCCTTACCCCACACCCATTTGTCTACATTCTGTTTACTCATGTTAATTTTGGGCTGGGTGGCCCTCTCCAGGGAAGATCAAAGTGGAATTACCTGTTAATAGCATTTACTCTGGGACCTGGAACATAAGCTTTTACCAGCCATAAAAAAATTCTCATAACCATGTTAATCATCTACAAGTGTGTTAACTTAGAACCTCTGTTACAAATAAAAGAGAGAGGGTCTTGGTTGGTTGGTTGTATTTCGCCCTCTGAAAGCAGCCAGTGGCCATCCCTGGCCCACTTGAATCACTGTAATGATGTGAGTACATTTATTCATCCATCGTTGAGTCAGAATCTGCAGGTCAGACTTCTGCAGGTGGTGACCGACGGTCAGATGGTGACCCTGACATGATGGAGGACACACACACTGACCTGATTTGGGTAGGCAGGTAACATTTATTTGGATCCCTCTAAGCACAGCCTCAAGGACAGGAATGTGCTCATCCAGTAGACTCCCAGGTTAGAGACTTTTTTTTCCTTTCAGAGACAGGGTCTAGCTCTATCGGAGGCTTGGGTGGAGTGGCACCCTCACAGCCAACTGTAGACTGAAAGTCCTGGACTTAATGATCCTCCCACCTTGAATTCCAGTGTAGTTGGGACTACAGGTGTGCACTACCCTTCACCCCCGAACCTCAGCTAATTTTTTAAATTTTTTGTAGCTATGAAGTCTTGCTCTGTTGCCCAGACTGGTCTCAAACTCCTCGACTCTAGTGATCTTCCTGCCTCGGTCTCCCCAAATGCCAAAATTTGTAAGCATGAGCCACTGCTCCCAGACCTGAAAGATGTTTTTTATTATGTTCTGTGCTGCTACAAAAATGAAAGCATTTCATGCAGAATTTACAATGACTTTCTTTCAAATTTTCATGCTTTCCTTTGTTTCAAAATTACTGCCATCATCTAATGAAAAAAATAGATTAAATTAATCAAAGAAAAAATTTAGGCTGAACATAAAAAAAAATTGTTAATGGTGAGATCCATTAGACTCTATTAGAATCCCCATTGACTGAGTCATTTAAAATAAGACTGCCATCCCCTGGAGATGACTCTGAGACAACCTCAGCCCTGAGGAGAAAGGAACATATGGAATCACAGGCCCCTCAGCCACTAATGTGGGTGATTTTTTTTTTTTCTGAATTCCATCATTTTGCCTTCTTGTCAACAAATCCTGCCATCATTTCACTCACATCTTTGCAGCATTTTCCTGAGCTGTTAACAGAAATCATTTCACAGAGAGTGGGAAAGAATGTCATTTTGTCATTTTCTTGGGGGAGCAGAGGGAAAAACAGGCAGCCTCTGCTTCCTAAGCCTTTCATGATGAAAAAAGAAAAGGAGAATGAGGACTGCCTGCTAGCAGGCTGCAAGAAACAACTTTGCTTGGCAGCATTGTGCAGAGTAGTGACTGGAAACTCCCTGACCAACCTCTCTCCTTATTAACCAGAAGAAAGAACAGTTTGGGACCACATTGATACCCCCAAACTTACTGGCACTAATGAGCTGTATGAACTTAATCATTACATTCTATCTGAAAGGTAAGAGGGACCTTAATGATCATCAAGTGTAACCTACTTCTTAATGCAAGAACTCCTTTTAATTACAGAATTCCTGTGAGATGGCCATTGGAAGCTCATTATTTCATTGAACCCTCCATCCCATGGTTAGTTGTTTCATTTGCTAAGAAAGTCTTCCTTTTATTGAGCTAGGACATTAATTCATTAGTATTTGCTTTCCCCTTTGGAATAATAATAATGATGTATGATAAAACAGTGGTAATTGTAATAATGATGAGGCTGATGAGTAACAGAACTTTTTTTCTATATGCTAGGCATGTAAAAAAATTTGTATGTGTTTAAGTTCTTATTTATCACTACAAAACTTCCAGGTTATAGGGATTATGATTTGCTACTATTTTAAAGAAGGAAGGATTGAAACGTAGAGTGCTAGAATGACCTCATCAGGATCAGGAAACTCACAGATGGAGAATTAAAATTTGAACCCAGTTTGGTTTGATTACAGAACTCTACATACTGGGAACACACACTTATGCCTCTAGCTCCTAATTTAACACATTTAAATTTCACTGTGTCCTTACTCCTCTTTGTTCCAGGTTGTACATTCCACCTTCCTTAAGCATTTTTTATTTAATATGACTTTAAGTTGCCATATGATCATAGTAGATTTTATCTTAGAGGTTTCTAGCTTTCTTTTCTAATGTATGGAATCTTGAACTGGAAAAAATGCTGAAAATGTGATTTGACAAGTGAAGCATATAGAAAATTCTACAGCTACCCTTCATTACCTGCAAATTCAAATTTCTGCATTTGCAAAAAATATTAATAGTAAAGATGATAACTGACATCAGAAGAACATCAAAATACAAAACTTCAAGGAGAAAAAAACACTTATATTTGAGAAGACCCTATTGCAGACTTCAGATCAGAAGGATTCTTTTTGTTTGTTTGAAACATCACAATTTTCTCTGTAAAACTGAGTATAGACTTAGTTTAAATAATTTTCCTAGTCCGTTTGGGGATGTAATGTGACATCTCCCTCCATCCGTCCAAATTTGGCATGCATGTGCTTATATTTCAATTGCCTAAATGCAATCACACAGAGGATGCACCCATCTTGTGGATTCAAGAGCTCCACTGTAAGCTTCTGACAGAGGCAAGATTGCTAAGAGGAGCTCAGGCTTTCAAATTAGTCAGGAAGATAAAAATGAACTAGGTGTGACTGAATGGCCAAGAAAAGGGCAGGGCACCAGAGAATGCATAGGCACTATTTATTTACACAGCAATAAGGGCAACTACACAAGTCTCTGGCTGCTGAAGCCTTTCCCTGACACAGGTGAGCTCTGAGGTTAATGTGGAAATTGTGCTGAACAAGAATGGGCCTTTGAAAAACATTGAGGGGAGAGCTCTTCCCTTGGTCCTCTGAAGTTTCACCAAAAAATCAACTCACAAAAGGCAGATTAATTGAATAGAAGGGATACACATTTATTTAACATGTAAACATGGGATCCTTCAGAATGAAGACCTAAAGATATAGAGAAAATTGTTCATTTTCTGCTTAGATCCAACAAAGTATGGACAGCTATGTAGAAATATGACTGGACAAAAAGGGTATGATCTAATGCTAATAGACTGAGTGGGAAACCCAGCAAGATCTGACATGCAGATACTTCTTGGCATCTCTGAGTATGCATTATTTTCTTCTGGGTATGGGCCAGGACTCTGCTGGAATGGGGATCTTATGACCCATAGTCAAACAAGGCAGGTAAGATAATTTCTTTATGACAAGTTTTTACATAGATAGTGTAGAGGGAAAGTTAGAGTGATGTTCTTAAGTCTTATGGCTAGCTTTGGGGAAAAGTTATCCTTGTTTCTATGGCCCACCTTGGGGAAAAGGAATTCAGTTTTCTATAGCTAACCTCGAGGAAGAATGGGAGAAAAAGTTTTGTTTCTGAGGCTTTCATTTTATGGTATTGTTTTCCGAGCCAAAACACAGGTAAGTAACAAGGCCAGTGCAAAAAGAAGCATATAGATCTCATTTAAAGGAATTGTAGCAGTAGCAGTTATAGTAATGAAAGGATACTGCTGCAGAAAAAGAGTAACATTAGTAATATGAGGAGTCCTACATGAAGGTAAGGAGAAAAGGGAACTTTGGAGTCAGGCTACTGCTATGCATTTCCATATACCTTCCTATATTCTTTTCTATGTGGCTTTGTTGTCTATGGCAATAAGGATTGTGAAAATAGGTGAATTAGAATCTAAGCTCTTGGAACTGTAATTTGTTTTGAGTCTTAAAGAAACGTGATTATGGGGCCTGATTTATGTGACAGGCAGCTGTAACCAAGGCGGTTGTAGCTTTGTTTCTCTGATTATAGATTAAGCCTTCTTTCTTGCCTTCATTATTTTGTAAAATATTATAAATGACTGAAGGCTTCTGGGGAAGATCCTTTCTACCTTTATTGTTGATCTTCATTATAGATTAATTTCCCTCTCACCGTTCTCCCACAAAGACTTCATGGTCATTATATTGTCTTTAGATGGAATGTTATATATATGCTTTCAAACTGGAAATGAAATGAAAATGAGCTGTGTGGAAAAGACTGACTGTACTAATTAAATTATTGTAACTTATAAGCCAATCTTTTATAGAACATTTTGTTTTCCTGTCAAATTTCTTTATTTTCTGCATATATAAGCAAGAGCCTAACTTTAAACTTTGGATCACTGACCCCATTTCTCTGGAATCTGTAACTCTCTAATGGTGATTCCCATATCTTTGCTTTTTGCTTGAATAAACTTTTTAAAACTGAATTCTGATCTTTTTGATTACTTCAGATTGGCAGAGTCTTCATGAAAGTGTTTTAGGAGTCATAAAAAAAAATAGACACAATTAAATGTGAAGAGTACTGGGTTACAATTCTGGTTATTAAGTAGTACTGTAGTTGGAGATACTGTTTATGACTGTGTGTGTGTGTGTGTGTGTGTGTGTGTGTGTGTGTGTGCGTATAATGAAACTAGAAATGCGGAATGCCTTAAAATAAAACTCTCTCTTGCTCTGCCTTTATAACTACCTAGTAGTCCCTTTTCCAAAGATAATTCCTTGTTGCTGTTGTTGTTTTTAAAAAATTGCTTCTTGTAGAGGTAACATCCATATCTCTTCCAAGGTGCTAATATGACTCTTGATCTATAACATGTAGGCAGTAGCATTTCCTATCTGTGGGAGAGAAATATTAAACTCATTTGTATGACCGTTACTTTTAATCTTCCTCTCCATTATTAGATTTTCAGTTGCTTATCATTGCTATTAAACAATTTTAAAAAAATATTTAGTGCTCATTTCAGCAGCACATACACTAAAATTGAAATAATATAGAGATTAGCATGATCCCTGCACAAGGATGGCATGCACATTTGTGAAGTGTTTTGTATTTATGAGGTATTATTCAGCCTTTAAAAAAAGAATGAAATTTTACACATGCTGCAACATGAATGAACTTTGAAGGTGTTAGGATGAGTGAAATAAATCAGATACAGAAGGACAAATTTTATATAATTCTATTTATAACTAAAGTAGACAAATTCATAGAGACAAAAAGAATAACATTTGCTGGGAACTACAGAAAGAGATGAATCGGAAATTGTCATTTAGTGGTTATAAGGTTTTAGTTTGGGAAGATGAAAGTTCTGGAAATGAATGGTAGAGATAGCTGCAAAACAATTTGAATGTACTTTATGCCACCTAATCACAAACTTAAAAATGGTCAAAATTGTATATTTTATGTTATTTATAATTTATCACTATATATATTATACGTATAACATATAATTTAGCTCTTACCCACATCTTTTGATTTACTTTTTGTAAAATTAACATTTTTCTCCATATTTTTTTCAATTTTTACTCTTGTTATCCTAAAACTCTATGTACATACTTTTTAATAAAGTCATATAGAAGCAATGATTACGGACATTTTTAGGTGCTGTCACCAAGTAATTTTTCCTTCTCTTTCTCTTCTATGCACATGGGGTGATTGAGCTTTCTAGACCTTGTGTATTTGATGCAGGCAGGTGACTACCTTTGGCAAATGAATTGAAGAACAGGAAAGTGAGTTATAATCAGATATGGGCATTTAAGTGCTAAGTTCTCATTTCTCTGCCAAAGCAACTGACAAAGTTTGAGATGGCTGTTTTTCGGTGTTGTTGTTGTTGTTTGTTTTGTTTTGTTTGTTCTGAAATTGCCTAATGATATTTTTAGGAGTAGGAGACATGTTTGTTTGATTTTATTCCATTCATGGATTTGTGTAACTGAAGTCCTCTTTAAATAGAAAAACTCATGTATTTTTTCAGATATGCACATTTTTCCTGTATGTTATTTTGCTTATTTCCTCTTTTCCATTTTCTGCTTTCTTCTCTCAGAGCTTATATTTATTAGATGTTGGGTTTACCAGATTGTTTTTCTTTTATATTTTGTATATTTTGTCATATTTTCTGCCTCATTGTCCATTTTGTTTTATGTTCATTTTGACTTCCTTCACTTTGTTTTATTGATTTTTCAGTGATATCTTTCCAATCTCTCTGAAAAGACTAATTAGATTCTCTTTTTGAGTTCTTTCTCCTTCATGAGTTATTTCTGTGTTCACAGTAATTGTTTTATCTACTTATTTTCTCATTTTGATGCTGCTTTTTTATATGCCCAAGTGATTATAGGTTATATTTAGCATATTTAAAACAAGAGGTATTGGGCTGACTTTTCCAAATAGTGAACTAAATGTCTCTACTGTGGTATTGGTAAGCTTGTTTCTCCACAAAATTTCTTCTTCAATCAGGAATCTGACCTGGCCAACTAAACATATAAATCACTAAGATGCCAGGCTCTTAGTAAGGGATTGCCAGAGTAGGCAGAAATTTACTCTTGTGATGCCAGCACCCACTAGTGCTGCTAGTTCACCCCAATCAATGCATTATGTTTTTTAAGTGAAGAGGTCATCATTTGTGTTATGAGGATTATTGTCATTTTGCTTGGTTTTATTTTGCTTAAAATCAATGAGACCTTTTTTGTATCCTTCTTATATCCAGAAACGTGGGAGAGAGAAGAGAGGAGTAAAGAGCTGATTGGCTTTTTGTTCCAAGGACAGAATTTTAGTCAGACCCTCTACTCTCCCCTACCAATTTTGCACCCCTTTTGTAATTCCACCCTCCATGACTACCAATTTTTTCCAAAACCCTTTGGGGTTTGCTTGAAAGATTAGCTCCCTCTTTTCCTCCCATTTCTTTTTATGTTAATTTTTGACTGTAGATTCATCAACATTCTTCGTTCAAATATATAGTTCCCATTTATTTTTCATCTCTCAATAGTGCCTCAAAATCTAGTATTGGATAATGATTCTGTTCCCATTCTCTTTCTGTTCAGGTTTATTGGTTTAATTCTGTTTTTATTCTCTCACATTTTAGAGAAACAGAGGCAAATGCAGGTATTTGATCACCATATTCAACCAGAGATCACATTATGTAATTGGAAAACTGAGAATTACACATTTTGTCCATCTGCCAGCGGTACACACTATGTTCCAAGTGAGGGCCATAGGTGATAACTTTGAATCGGTAGAATGCAAGGAGGCATTTTTCGTTCTACCTAGACACAAAGCACATCATGATCTTTTAATAGTTTTTAAGCTATTTGAAAATAAAGCAGTAGGAAAATAGGAAACAAATGAAAGCCAGGATTTCAGTCAATAGTCATTTCTCTTGCTTTGTCTTTTTTTTTTTTTTTTCTTATTTGATGGGATCTCAGAACAAGTTGAACATGACCGTCCCCAAATTCCATTATTAAATTAGTAGTTCTGCTTCTAAAAGTACCTAATTGCAACTCCTTAGTGGAATTGAAAATTAAAAAAAAAAAAATAGTAGTCAGTATCAGAAAAACTAAAACATTTTAGTAGGTTTTCTATTTGCATTTTAGATGTTGTTTCTCAAAGAATCTCAAATTCAGGTTTATTTTTGTAATTTCCTGCTTCTATAAATATTTCTCCAGTCATTTTCCTCAGTTCTCATAAGAATACATATGGTGCTCCTGAAAAATATTTTCACAAGTACTTGTGGGTGATTTATTGGTGCTTAAATTCATCCTATGTTTGGTGTATAAAATCGTGTCTACTCAAAATGTTCAGCGTTGACAGCAACATGGTTTTTAGAAGTTATCCAGGCCTCCCTTCTGTCTACCTGCTTTTATTAACTTTCCTTTGCTCTTGTCTTCCTTAAATTTCTGGGATTTCAGTGATGTAGTCCAGTTACTGGCATATACCACAGCATCCCCCCTCCTTCTCATATCCATTTGGATTGTCACCTCATTTGTATCAGCCATGACTGTCTTATTCAGTTATACCTCCAAGCCTCTTTGACTCCACATTGCTTAGCATTTTTTTCCCAAACTTTAGACTTATGGTTAGAGTCCTGTAAGGATAAAGAGAAGAAGAAACAAATGACATTTCTCCTTGCAGCTCTGTGGATCAAGCCAGAGTCAAATTTTACATTAGATTTAGGGAGAAGAACCGTTGGTCAAGCTAAAGTAGTTGTAATGCCAGGTGTGTGACGTGTTAGAAAATACTGGAGCATGAAAACATCTGTTGGAAAAAACTCAACTGAAAGTGGTGGAGGTGATTAAAAGAGACAGAGGCTAGAGTTCACAGCTGGGCTTTTGTGGATGGAGATACTTCATAAAATAGAATATTTGAAATTGAAATTTGAGTCTCATCCCACTTATTACCCATTGAAATTAAACATGAATGATTCATCTATTTACCGAGAATGCTTGGAATGCTTTGTGCTAAATATGATGGAAAATTCAATGGCAGCCAAGGCACTACCTTTGAAGAAACCTGGTAAATGGCAGAGGAGAGGTAAGTTTACATTTAATATAGAAAGGGAAATGAAGAAAGATGCGTCAATATTTTGTAAGCCGCAACATAAGTTCTTTAGGACTAAAAGGATACACTATCATGATGGCTATAGATTGAGAAAAGAAAAAAAAAAGCTTTACACCCTGGCTTTTGGAACTCATGTAATCAAGATAACCCTCAATACCTCTGGGGAGCACATGGGAGAAGAAAGATGATAAGGACAACTTTCCAATAAGCTCTATCATGGCCCACAGCAGGGGATACGAAAGTTCCCATTTATTGGAAGTGTGTTGAGGGTAGCTAGAAAAGAAATTTCTGTTAATCACTTTTATTTGTCTGTCAAAAAAGAATGCTTACTTAATAAAAGATTTTTAATTATGCCATCTGGCAAATTATCTTGCATAATCACAAGTAAAAATCTTTCCACTGATGTTCTCCTAGAAGAATTTGAAGATACTGTTCTACTCCTTAAGTCCTCTTCAAAAATTAACAAGAGCCATAAATCACTGCTAATCCTGTGGCTCAGTTCTGGATGTTTCCTTAAACAACAATGCCATTTTAAAAAATTCTACTCATTAATGTGTTGGGTTATATACCTACAGTGAGTTTCATTTATAATAGAGTCATCTACCTAGGCATCTTGCCAAAGGAAAGGTCATTCTGTGAAAGTCACTTATGTTCATAGAGAGAACACCCCATGCTACCATTATGTATGGTTGAGTTACTCTACTCAGAAGAGCTGTTGCTTTTTCCTTTGTCATGCCTTCAATGTTCTAAGAATTTGGTAAATGTCTTCATTTCTAGCTTCTAATGCACAGAGTAATAGAAGGAAATGTCTTCATACAACAGTAGCATGCAACACAGGTTGCAAAGCTCATAACCTAGGCAAGGTCGATTGGGACCTACTTGGTTTCTGAATTGTGAGATCAGATGAATTGTAAGGGAGGGTAGGATACTGCATCTGCGACTGTTATGCTGGGCACCGAACAACTTTTATGTGTGACATTCACAAAGACTACAGTGAATGGGACTCTGCAATCCTCTGGAGGCCTCATAGAACCTCTATTCTTTGGCCACAATTGGCAAAAGTAGACACTGAGGTTATTCAGGGAAAGGTAGAATTCCATTGTCACATAGAACAGAAAGTTGCGTTGAGTATTCAGGCTATGCTATTTTAGTAACGTTAGTATGCCTATAGGAAAAATAGAAAAGAATATCTGCAATTGAAATGTTGGTCTCATATTATCCATTGAAATCAAACTTAAATGACTCATTAATTTATCAAAGATACAATAGGCACACATTATGTACAATGCATTATGCTAAATGTTATGGAAAATTCAGTGATGAATAAGACAGTACCCTCAAAGGAACTAGGGATTTGACAGAAAATAAAATAAAAGAAACATTTGATGAAGTGATGAAAGAATGGGAGAAGGGCACTGTGATTTGAGGTATCTAGCCTTGGAATTACAAAATAAACATAAGTTTTATAATATAGAGCACATGTGATGTACGCCAGCAGGATAATTTATCATAAATATCCTTGTAGTCACATAACACTCAGGTGTATTTAAATATGTCTACTTTTATGCCTTTTGAGATTATATTGTATAGCTGCAGACAGATAATGGAAACCAAGGTATATATTAAATAAAATATAAATGGTGAACCCAATACATGGTTGAAATGTAGAGAGGTTATGATGAAAAAATAAAGAATGAATGGATGGAGACCCAGAGAAAAGAAAAAAGAGAGAAAGAAGGACAGAGGGAGGGAGGGAGAAAGAGAGAAAGAAAAAATGAACAAACACCTTGGGTAGATAATAAAAGAGACCAATTTTAATCTTAGTGGTATATCAACAAACATCAAAAATAATTGATGATTTACTAAATTTAATTTTATTTAATTTTTTAGCATAAAATACAATGATATTTGCTTACACTTAAGATAATTTTAATCTCTGTATTGTCAATGAAGTGTTTATATTTTATATGAGATAACTTTCAGCCTAGGACTTCTTTGTGCATTTTTAATGTTATGGTGACAATTCTATCAATGTCTTCATGAAGCTAATAGTTTTCTTTCAAAATAAAAAAAAAAAAAACTGGAAGACAGAATCCTGATTAATTTATCTGCTGATTGTTCTTCCAATTTTCAGAAATTTGCCCTTATTCTACTTCATAATAAATAAAACCAGATATCAAGTTTTCTTTAATATATTCATGAAGTCATTTGCATATTAGAAAAAAATAATAAAGTTTGATAAAAATGAAAGTACAAATCATTCCTTAATTGGAGTATAAGCTTTCTCTCTCATCCTTCAGTCCTCTCTTCGGGAGAGCTCCAGAATTTGATTGTATCTGGAATCATGTTTCGCTACACTAGCTCCCGGAGCTAGCCAATTATCTACGAAGGTTTCTTCTTGGATGCCCTCAGTTAGCTCTGTTTATTCAATGGAAAACTTGTGGTACTGAATTCATTCTAAATGACAGGCAGAAAAATCTATACTATTTGAATGGCATCTTAAATATACAATGCAAGGTATTTTATTTAGCTTTAATTTAATTTAGCTGTCAAAGCCCCAACAAAGATGCTCAGTGTTTCATGTGGAGTTTATTTGATATATATAGACAGTGTGTGTGTGTGTGTGTGTGTGTGTGTGTGTGTGTGTGTTGTGTGTATGACAGAGAGAAAGACTACACAATTTTCTTATGCCTTTGTAATGTTACTTTTGTTGCTCTCTTTTTTAAAAGAAAACCAAACATATTAATCTATATGAAGTTGTAAAATATAATAGAAATTATATTATAATTTAGATAACATAATTTCTAATAATGTTAAGTAGATTTCTTATGCTATATTCAGAATTCTACCTCAACCGTGCTTAGATCATCTATCTACTGAGTACAGAATGACAACAAATTGAAATAACAGTTGTCTCTGGTGTGCTCTATACCATAAAGAGTAAGTCAATCAGCCAATCAATCGATCAATCAATTGTCTAATAAAATCTGATCATTTCCAATATACCCAGGTCTGTGGCAGATATGGAAGAAGATCTGAAATCATAGGACATAATTCCAACCTTTGAAAGTTTTCCAAGGTTGACAGTTAATCTTCTTGGGAAACCCAACAAGTCTTTACTGAGAAACATAACTTTAAAATGAAAATAAGAGAATGACCAAGAGTGCTTAGGAGTTAAGAAAGAGAACATAACTGAAGGGACTACATAAAGGACATGAGAGATGAAATATCCAGGAGTTTAATGTAGTTGATTTCCCTCTGGAAGGAAACATCCTTACTATTAAAACTGCAAAATGGATGGTAGACAATGGTTAAGAGCACTTATTTAGTAGGAAACACAAATGTGGTGGTCTAGATTTGAGGAGGAATTTTTTAAAAAGTGTGCAGTAGAGTGTAGAGGATATTAAAATCATCAGAAAAATTTACCACAGACTGAAACAATGCTTTTTCCTAAAATAAAATTCCAGAGAATACCAATTAACTTTATTTCAACATAATCTCTTGGGTAGTAGCTGAGACATAATGCTAACATTCACAAGTAATTTATTTGATGACATTTTAGAGCAGCTTCCAGCACCCTCCCCTTCACCTGCCCTGCCTTACCTCACAGATGGCCGGGATGTGGCAAGAATATGGTGCCACATTCTGCAGAGCATAGGTAACCATGGCATATAGCTTGCAGATATGTGGGGAAAGAGTGTGTCTGTCTAAAAGGTCAAACCATAAAAAAATTGTTCTTAAAATGTTAGTTTTGGAGCAATTCACCTCTTAACCAATAGGATGGATATATAGGAAAGCAGAGGAAAGAAAATATATTTGAAGTAGAAGTGGCAGACAGCAAAGAGATGCCTTGTTATTTCTCAAATATATTTGCAATGAATATTTAGAGAATACTTGGGCTGTTAATGCAAACATAGCCACCAACAGCGCCTAACTGGTATGGAAGTGACACTAACATCACAACAGGATAAGTGAAGATAGGACAATACGTTTAATAGGATTGTTTTCATCATAAACAATTTGAGTTGCCTTCAGGAATTAAACCTCAGTTTATACATATTTCATCTTGTAATTCCATAATAAAATGGGAGCATCAGGATCTTTCAAAATAGTAAAACTGAAAATTCTTCTCATGACTTTCCATGCACCTGTAATGCTGATGTTAGAATTTAGTGGCAGACTGGCTTGTGTTGTTTCCTGTCTGTTTTATATTGATGGGCAAACCATAGTCTGTTCTGAGTGTGTATCTGGCAATATGTACAAATTTTAAGTTAGAATTGGCCCCTGTCCTTAAGAAACATATAATCCGGTAAATAAAATAAGCGTGCAAAACAAATAAACGATTATGTCATTACAATTGTATTTCCGTCACTTAGAATTTGCATTAACCTGTCACACCTGTAATAGATGAATGGTGTCTTAGACCAGAAACATTGCTGGTTACAGAGAGGAAATGCTTAGCCTTTTGCAAACCCCCTAGTTTGCCCATATAGAAAGGATTGTATAGGTTTCTTGCTTTCTCCAGAATAAGTTTTCTATCAAGACATCTGCATTCAATATGTACAAAATTACCTTTAAAAATTTTAACCACCTTTAATTTTCCTTTATCTGTGAAGGCTTTTCACCAAAAGAGTACTATCTGGGAGTATTGAATATGTGTTGAAGAGCTAAGCAAAGCCCCACGGAAGTGGCAAGGTTTCACAGGTGGTAGTGTTGTCACTCATTTGCTGAGTGTCTCAGTCTAAATACTGTTGGGCTGGTGAGGGTTCTTCAAGAACAAACAGCATTTCAAATCTTCAAAATGTAAGTGTGTCTGAAACAAAGCCAAATTTGGGGCTTCGAATGCCAGGTGCTTAACATATACTTATTTATTCAATAAATAAGCCAGAGCATTCAGCATTTCCTATCAAATAGGACCTACTATGCCATAATCAAAGTAGAATTTCTCTACTGGTTCACATATTATTTCTCTTACTTGTTCCTTTCTATATTGATTTAAAGCTTGGTTTTGAAGACTACAACTTCATCTCATTTAGGCGAAATTTTACTGGCTGTTCCCTGTTCCTTTGCCAGCTCCCTTCTTTCTGAGTGATACTCCTTAATCTTATGTATAGTCAATTAAAGACAGCTGCTCTTCCCTAGACAGGATTGTGATTTCGGACTGGTAACAAACAGCTGGGTTGATTCCATGCCTTTACTATTGTAAGAAGTGCTGTGATAAACATAGGAGTGCATGTGTATTTTGAGAAAATGATTTATTTTTCTTTAGGTATATACACAGCGATGAGATTGCTGAGGCCAACCGTAGTTCTGCTTTATGTTCTTTAGAAATCTCCAAACTAATTTTCACAGTGGGTGAACTAATAGTGTATAAGTGTTCCCTTTTCTCATCAGCCTTGCCAGCATCTGTTATTTTTGACTTTTAAAGAAAATGTGGTACATGCATACCATGGAACACTACATAGCCATAAAAGAAGGAAATCATGACCTTTTCAGCCATAGAGATGCAGCTGGAAGCCAATATCCTAAATGAATTAATGCGTAATAGAAAAATCAAATACACATGTTCTCACTTGTAAGTGGCAGCTAAAAATTGGGTAGACATGGATATAAAGATGTGAGCAATATACATTGGAGACCACTGGGGGTGGGAGACGGAGGGAGACAAGGCCTAAAAAACCTGTTGGGTAGGTTTTTCATAGTGCCTATTGGTTACTAAGGTACTAACTGCATGATGGGATAATTTATACCCCAAATCTCAGCATCATACAATATACCCATGTAATAAACCTGCACATGTATGCTCTGCATCTAAAATAACAGTTGAAATTATAAACAAAGAAACAAACAAAAATCCCAGCTGGCGTGGACGGGCGTCTCCTACAACAGGGTCCTAACTTTCTGTAGTTAGTAATTAGTGAAAGACTGGAAGAGAGAAATTGAGACATCGGCTCCAGGCTCTGCTGGCAGTTGCTGCAACATGACCGCTGTGGACAATACAAAACAATTAACTTTCGCTTAAAAGCCAAGAAATCCTCTTGAGATTTCAGCTTTTTGATGCTAACTATTCAGGTATTTTTAACATTTTATTTATTTGTGATCTTTTTTCTTAACTATTAACTGCAACTTGTTTTGATATGAAGCCAAATTCTTTAGGCACCATTGTAAAGCACACCTTCACTTCATGCAAGAATCTCCTTTCCACAGTCATACCTTGAAACATAATTGGAAGTAAGAATTTATATAGCTGTTAGAAAACATATATGGTGGTGAAGATTACAAACTAGCATTCATGAAATGAAAAGATAGCATATTATTTTAGATTCAATGAATACATGAAGCGAGTTTCACAATGCTACAAATAGTTATGAAGTGTGTCCAAAGGTAACATATCAATTTGTATAAAAAAGACTTATTTGCTTTTTTCATTGATTTAGCAACTCAAACCTTGTCACTGAGAACCTACCTTGTGATGACCACAGTACTTAGAGCTAATTATTAATGCAACTTATTTTTATATGATGTCAAGGTGCCATTGTAAAGCACAGCCTTCCTGCATGAAAGGTGCAGGAATTCTTTCCAATCGTATACATAGAATTGGCAATATTTTAAAATAATGAAATACTAAACACAAGCATAAAGTGTAGAATTAACACAGGGCAATGGTGGCTAGAGAAGGTAATTAAGAGGGTTAAATCATGGTAGTAGTCAGCACTTGATAGTAAAAGAGGCAAGTTCAAGATGGCAGCATCACCTTCTCTGATTATTAATAAATAAATATTGACATTAATTTAGCACTTTCCGTCTTCAAAGCACTTTACAATTATTAATTAATCCTCTTAGGACTATTTGAAATATAATTTATGAAGTTTGCATTTAAATTGAATTTTCATGATGGTATTTCTTGGCTTCAAGTACAAAAGCTTTTTTTAATACTCAGATTTTTTTTTTTCAGAAGGCAAGATAATAAGATAAATGTAGTTATATGGACATTTCAGAAAAGGTAACCTCAGGACATTGAGTAGATAGGCAGAAAGAGCTACATTTACACATTTCCATAGCCATGGACCAAGATCTTGGTTCATTGTCCCTCCAGTCAAGTGGAGGCAATTTTAGGCTGTCCAGTGAACCCCGCTTTTGCACCAGGAAGACTGACATCTCTTTCACACTGCAGCCATCCTCTTTTGTCTGGATTTCTATGCATCTCAGTTTTATATAATTTTTAACAATAATTTTATTTCTAAAACCCTAATATTCTTGTTTTCATTCAATATATATTTGTTACTCAATAGAACATTAAAAATTAAAAACATGGACCCTTATTTCATAATGGCTCATGACTAACAAGAGGACCAAGGATTGATTACATGAATATGCAATATACAGTATAAAAACTTTTTTTTAAATAGACTTTTTAGAGCCCTTTTGGTTTATGAAGAAATTGAGGAAAGGTGCAGAGACTTCCTATATACCCTTATCAACCCACACCTTGGAGTTTCCCCTGTTATTAACATCTTCCATTAGTATGTGCATGTGTTATAATTGATGAGCCAATATTGATACATTACTATTAACTAAAGTCTATAGCTTACATTAAGATTCACTTTCTATGCTGTATATTGTATATGTTTTGACAAATGTATGATGACATGCATCTAGCATGATAGTATCATACAGAATTATTTCTCCTTTTAATAATTTCCTGTGTGTTTGGTAATTAGAGTTTGATTTCCGCGCCCATTCAACTTCATCCTAGACACACCTGCACTGCAAGGAGGTTGTGTCCCTTTGGTGACTGCCTGCACAAATACACACCTATCCTCTCAGCTTCACTGGGCAAGGCATCTCTGTCTCAAGGGAAATGCATTTCAGTCAATCTGACTTGAAAATAAGACCAGGGACTAAGGGTTGGTGATGAAAAGAGAACATCTGCAATTTAATTCAGTTTGACTCATAAGAGGCTTTCCCAAATATATGTGCCTGTCATGCAACTTGTCCAATTAGGGAGCATGCAGGCACCTTTTTTTGTTTGCCACACCTGTCACCTCCCTTACTTCTGCACTATCCAGGATCAACCCAGCATCCAGAGTGGCATCTCCCCTACTTGTGAAGCTAAAAATAGTCCTAATAGTCAGGGGACAATCACCTCTATACTTTGAAATGGCAACTTGCAGCTTAATTAAACAGATATACTGGCTAATCTACATTTGATTTTTTGTTGTTGTTGTTTAAGATCCATAAACTCTGCTGGACCACAACCCCACACTTGGTATATGGAAACTGTCTAGCACAATTCATTGTTTCCCATATCAAAATAGGCATAATATTGCAATGTAATTATGTCTCCACATCTGTCTCGCCTTCTAGACTGTCAATTATGCAACAAAAAAAGAACTATTGTTTTTATTTACTCTTGGCTCCCCCAGTGACTTGAACTTTGCTTGCCATGTGTCAGTCTCAATTATTAAATACATTTAAAACATAAAATGAAAACAAATAAAAAATAGATACAAGAAGAATATGTAAAGTCTTTCTGTAACACTTCAAGGAGATGGTTTAAAGAAAAATTTCTGACTTTACTGCCCAATCCTCATTCCAGATGAATTTGTAATGGCACAGACAGAAGATAAAAGGAAGGAGAAGGTATGTTATGCTTTGTGATATGACTTCATAAAATCTTGATCAGAATATTGTATGTGCCTCAAATACAGCCCCCTGTGTCATTGAAAGTCTCCTCTAAATTTCACATTTAACCACTGAGCAGAAAGATGCTGATGTTAATAAGGGGGCTCCTCGATTTCCCTCAGTAAGGACATTCTAGTGACTGAAAGGGGAAACTTTCGACCCCATCAAAGAACCTCAAATGTATCCGGTGATTCATGGCTCCGTGGAGAATCTAGGAAAAAGTCATTCTGTTTACCTCTAAGCATCCTGTGGAAGGCTCTCCCTGTTACTCTCCTTTGTCTGGGTCAGGTACCCTTATTAAGCCTCCATTAGCATGTGGCAGCCTCTCTCATTTTCCTATCACTGTATTCTAATTGCCTGGAAACCTGCCCATCTTTTCCATCAAGTTTTAGGCTCCATTATGACAAGGAGTCTGTTTGCCTTGCTTACTGTTTCATTTCTTGGGCTTATTTTGAAATCTGGAACATCATATGGAGGGAAAGAAAGAAGATAGGAAGGCAGGTAGGTGAGTCACCAATCTAGAAATAATAAACTTTCTTTTCATGGCCTTGGTACATTAGGTTTAAGTGTTTCTCCTAGAAAATTGACTGCTAAGAGAGCTCTGAACTGTTCAGAAAACAACAAAGTGCCTACTTAGCAAGGGAAACGAGTTGACCCACAGGTCCTTTGGATCTATTCTTGACATCATGATTAGCCCTGATTTTTCTTTCTCATCTGACTGACTTACATTTGATGACAGTGGGTCAACTGACCTCAGCTATAATTTACTGCTGTGTTATGTGGGATCCCTAATTATGACAGCCAAATGTGGAGATGTTCCTAGCCCTAACACCCAATATTGTATTGTGTTGACACATACTGTGTTTCTTTGATGCCTTTTCTTAGGTTGACTCTGTGACTCCAGATTTTATTGGCTTTGTGTCTTTTCCATTATCTGGGATGAGTTAAACTGTGACTTGTGGAACAGGACAGACTATATCCTTCCTCTTACTACATGTGTCCTTGCCGTATACCTATCATGCATGTGTTGTACTGCTCACATTAACTGAAGGCAGGAATCATGCTGTACATTTATATGTTATGTGTTTCAATGGTTAGCATATTGTGTTGAACATGATACTCAGTATGTTTTAAAATGATGAAATGTATAAAAAGTAAAGGGAATGTTCTTAGTACACATAGATATATTTATTTTTCTTGTTTAATTCATACATATTCCCTCCAAGCCTCCAAGATCATGGGATTTATATTAAGTGTTTAAGATAGTACATAGTTTTCAAAAGCAATGGTTATATTTGTATGTGTATCATCTGTTTTTCATTAGGTAACAAACAACAAACAATAATAAAATGTATGTCCAGTTTTATTTTATGTTGGATACCAAATTCTCAGAGTTAAGAGACAGCACTGAAAATGACACATCCTCTTTCCCTGTCACTATTCATGCAGATCTAGGCTCCATCCTCATTCATGTCCCAAATGGCATCTCAGAAGCAGAAAGGTCAGAAGCAAAAGGCTCCAAGTTCATGAGATTTAAAGGCAAGTTATCAGGATTTGGACTGGAGCCCCAAACCATATAGGCTGTAAGGTCAGAGCTTAACTGTTTTTCCATTTTATTGCTCAAGGACAAGAGAACATGATGCATGAGATTCCAGCACCATAAACCGTGTACTGAGGTGGCCATTTCATCACGTATGGTTGCAAGCTGAGTACTGACCGCACAATGTAAATCGACAGCAGCAGGGCCCTGGTGCAGATGTGAAAAGGAATGTCACACATAACATCTTTTTCCTAATTATTAGGACCTGGACAGGAGGCAAGAAGGGAATGAGCGGTGGGGGTTGGGGGAGGGGAAGAAGGAGGGGATGGAGGCACTGTGACATTTCCCATCTCAGGAGTACAAGATTCATTACCTCTGATGAAAAGTCACCAGGCTGCGGTGAGTCCTGACATACTCGATGACAGGAGAAAGTGACATGGCCGTTTGACATTCAGGGCTAGAAGGTTGCCGGTCTGTAATCACTAGTTAAAATTGAATCTTGTACATTGCACCCTGCCAGGACAGCTCAACTCTTGATAATTATTTGGATGCTACTGTATTTGGATTTTATTTCCCCAGCAGAGAGGGGAAGTTGGATTTATAGTTTACTGCTGGGTTAAGATTGGAACAGGCTAGATCTTTTTTATGGTTAATATGGCAGAGCCAAATAAATCTGGAGATGTGTTTTGTCCCTATTTTAATTCTAAGCCACTTGGGAGTGGGGACAGGGAGTGGCAAAGGAATCAAAGAGCACATCTTCTAATTTTCTGCAAACAAGCTACAATTCTGGCTGTGCTAATGTTTTCTTTTTTTTCCTTTCACCTCATGATGCTTAAACCAGTCATCTGGACATAGAAGGGGCTAAAAAATACCATTTTGCAACTGCCACTGCCCAAGTTGCCACATGGTAAGACCTTCTTTATGGATAAGGATGGACATAGATGGTAACGAGACTTAACCACTTTTCCTTTACCTAGAGGTCAGCGAAAGGACCAGAAAAAGGTTTTGCAGAAGGCCACTTTTGTGTAATTACAGGGTGGCCCTGAACTGCTGATTTGCACACAGGCATGCTGTGATTCCCATAGAATGTTGTCCCTCTCTGTGCTCCTACCCAAAGGCATAGAAGCTTCTGCTTATTGCAGTAGCACAGCCTGCATATTCACCCCATTTAGCCCAGAAAGATGTTTGCTTGATAGGCTCCATCTAACATTTTCAGGAGTCACAAGCCACATGTTCGCAGAAGAGTAAAGTGATCACCAGAGCTAACTTAATGTACCGACAGAGTAAGTGCTGCCTGAGCGCTAGAAATTAGCTGTGCCCCAGGAAGCAGCCTGATCAAAGGCTGATCAAAGTTATCTTTACGACTAATCTGCCTCAATGTATAAAAGTCTGTCATCAAAAAGTATAAATTTAAATAAAAACATTGTGCCTCCAAGGATTCCTTTAAAAAGTCATCTTTTTTTTTTTTTTTTTTTTTTTTAAAAAAAAAAAAATTCTCAAGCAGCCAAAGATAGATTTAAAAACATAGGGAAATTTTGTTAGGAAAGATAGACAGGCTTTCGCCCAGGAGGCATCCCGAGGGGTGTCATTCATTGTTCCAGGGGATCCACTATGGACCTGAATCTGACTTTTAGCCAGGCTAATGCCAGAGCCTGATTTCTGTCAGCAGATTGTGCTCCCATCGCTCACAGAACACTCACATCCACTAAATTTGTAGGATTGATGTTTGGAAACAGAATGTTGATTTAGGTAGCATATATTGAGAAAAATTATGCAACAGGATTTGGAATACGCAAGTTCCAAATGGCCAGTGCAGACATTACAGGTAAGCCAGCCAAATACTGAAAAGAAGATCTTCTTGTGTTCAAGAAACAGGAACAACGGGAGTAAAAAGGAATCTAACTGTTCACTTTCTTACTGATAGGGTGGTGTGGCCGAGGCTAACCTTCCCCAAATCCAGGCCCACCTTAACATGCTGAGATAGCTCAGGTCCTAGAACAGCTCCTTTTTTCCTGAGTAGTGCTGGCATGGGCACTGCCAGCCCTTGCTTTCTCTCTTCTCTTTTGTTCAATCTCAGTGGTAAACACCACCCCCACTGTCCACCTGCCACTTGCCACCAGAAGGATTACATGTTCATATCACAGCTCAACTTAGAAGAGGCAGTTGCATTTTCTTGCTCTTCTACTTCTTAGGGAAAGCCACTGTCAAGATGGAAAATACCCCCGAAGAGGCAGCTTTAAAGTCACTTGCAGACATAAACAACTGAATGTGAATAAATTCATAACTCATCTTTCCTTCTCTACAGAGTGGAATAATAGACTGGGTACTTTAAGAAGGGTTTCTTATACAAAACAGGAATTTCTGAATAGGGAAGAGTCTAGAAAAGGGGTTGAATTTGAGAAATTTGGAGATAAGGCAGCAGAATGAGAATATCTAAGGGAAGAACATGAATAATTTCATAAGGAGACTATATAACAAGGTTAAAAGAGAGACAAAAAGATAGATATATCAAGGGGCTAAAATTATGCCTATAATAAAGTAATAGTGACAGAGTAAGTAGTGGCTTGGACACTGTGGTTGCTGAAATTATGATCACAACAGAAATGAATCAGGTGTCTGGGTAGTTTAGATGGAGTGTGGTTCAATGAGTAAACTAATTTGTTAGTTGTATATCTCAACTGTTCCTAGTTGTGGAAACTAAATTAAGGGTAGTTTCTCTTTTCCTGTGGACATCAATTACTTATACTTTGGAAGAGTAACTAATATGGTTAGGCTTTGTGTACCCACCCAAATCTCATCTTGAATTACAATCCCCACATGTCCAGGGAGAGACCAGGTGGAGGTAACTGGATTATAAGGGCAGTTTCCCTCATGCTGTTTTCAGGATAGTGAGCTCTCACAAGATCTGATGGTTTTATAAGAGGCTCTTCTCCCTTCTCTTGGCACTTCTCCCTCCTTGCACCCTGTGAAGATGGTGCCTTGCTTCCCCTTCACTTTCCATCATGATTGTAAGTTTCCTAAGGCCTCCACAGCCGTGCTGAAGTGTGAGTCAATTAAACCCGTTTTCTTTATAAATTACTCAGTCTCAGAAAGTTATTTATAGCAGTATGAAAATGGGCTAATACCGTAACCTCTCTTGTTTATTGTCTAAAGCAAAAAGGCAAAGTTGCAACTAATAAGGGACTTCATTAATGGGGCTGCTCATGGCAGACTGAGGGACCGTCTTTACTTTCCTATAATTGAAAAATACACCTCTTCCTTTTCTCCCCAAAACTAAATTTTATGTGTGGTTTATTTCGACACCCCCTCTTCCATGAAGTCTGCCATGATTACCCAGCACAGGTGATTTTTCTTTCTCTGAATTTTTGTACAATTTATCACATTTTGAAGTCCTTTGTGTATGTCCTATTTATACACC